CCCGCCGGGCCGGGGGGGGCCCCCCCGGTCCCCGCCGCGCCGGGAGGGCCGTCCGCGGAACCGGGGCTTGGTTCCAGTCGCTTTTCTTTACAAAAATAAAAATCGGTTTACTTAGTTACTAACGCTTTTTTTTTTTTTTAACGTTATGTTTTGTTGGTATGCGCTGGCCTCAATTCGTAATGCACTTAAACGGTTTTAAAAAACCGTGATTTATGACCGCAGAAGTTGCAGGAATTCCTACAGGTTGGTTTTTATATGTGTGTATATATATATACATTTGGCGCTGCATGTACATATACACGTACGCGTACAGCTGTAAATGTTTCCTTGGCAGAGCAGGGGCAAAGAGGCAGCCAGGAGGGAGCGCGGGAGCCGGCAGGCCGGAGCAGCCCGCAGGCAGGCAGGCAGGCGGGCGCTGCGGCGGCTGGAAGGTTCTGGAGGCTTCTGGCTTCGTGTTTGAGATGAGGACAGGCGAGGTGAAAGGGGAGAAGAGAAAGAGAAGCTCAGTGGAAACAAAAATTAAAAGAAGCTGAAGAGACAGAGAGTAGAACCAGAAAATAACGGAGTTAGGGCAAAGAGGGCTCAGTAAGGTGGAGGAGCCTGGTTAGAGACGGTGCAGTTCCTATGGAGGATGAGGCTGGGATTTACCGACTCCCACGGAAGGCTAATCTCAAACTGATTATTCTTCAGGTTAAAAAAAAAATCAGAGGAGAATAAAGAGTTCACTGATATGTGAGAATGGCCAATTCTTTAAGAGGTGAAGTGTTGAATCTATACAAAAATGTAAGTGTCTTAAATGCCATGAGCACTTTCCTTAACTAGACAAAACCCTTTCACTGCACACTTGATCTATTAAAAAAAAAAAATCTTTTCTTTTTTTTCAAGCTGCTGTACCTTGGAAGGGAGTATCCCAAAGGAGCAGACTACTTTAGAAGCCGTTTGAAAGCAGCTTTTCTAAAAAATAAGGATGTGAAAGATCCTGAAAAAATTAAGCAACTGATTGCACGAGGAGAATTTGTTATAAAAGAGTTGGAGGCTTTGTACTTTCTCAGAAAATACAGAGCTATGAAACAGCGCTACTACAGTGACGACAATCAGTAACCGGTGCCAATGACTTCGCGTGTAACAATACCAATCCATAAAAATAAACAATAAAAGAGCTGTAACCTCTGAAGAAATGAAATGTAAATCCTTCCAACCCATCTAAAGTACAAATCAGGACTTTGCTTCCCCTTAAGTAGTCGCTTGAAGGAGTTGGGTTTTGTATTACATGGGTAATAGGTTTTTCTCAACTACTTTTGACCTCAAACCTCGTGTACGAAAACAGTTTTGCAGGAGGTAGTGGCAATACAATTCGGTTCTGTTTCACTTCGATACACGTGTTGAACAGATAGCTGCTCTTGTATTTCCCCGATAGCTGTCTGTTCGAATGCTGATTCAAGGCGCTACGCTTCTCTTGGTACCTAGATTAACCTGGTGTTGAAAGTCTTCCACATTCAGTGATTCATTTCCACCGTAAATGAGGAACTTCTCAAAGTAAATTCGTGAAGATTTTAACTACGTCTGCTTAACGTGCAAGAGTCACGTCGGCAGGCTGGCGGAGGCCCTGTCTTTCTGTGTTAGAAAGAAGACTACGGCGTCAGGAAGGGGGCGAATTTGAACAACAGTGGTTTAAGCGCTTAAGACCCCGAAGACAATTCCTGCTACTGCCCATTTCTGATGTTGTGTAACTGCTGTAGCAGGAATATAGAACTTGATCCTTCCCCCTGGAAGAGGTGTTTGACTATGGATGTTTGCTCCACGGCGAACTCTCCGGGCCTTGGCTCGACTAGCACAAACTCGTGCCAGAACTGACACCTTGCGCATACCAGGGTTGGCCGGTGCTTCCACCCCCTGCCAAGGACTAAATGACACTGGAGATACAACAGAAATAATCTTTAAATATAGGTAAGTAAGTAATCACTGCAGCAGAACTGTTGGCAATAGCAAATCTTCACACGCGTTAATTCCGGAACAGATTAAAAAAAAAAAGATGGCAAATTAGACAGTACGCTAACTTGCGGTGAAATGTATGTGCTTCAGTTTCTAGCACCACATTGATGTGAAAACCAGTCCTTCCACATCAACTGAACTCCTCTACAATAGGTCGCAAGTTAGAGGCATTCGTTCAGAATAGGTTTATATACAAAGATTAACCTACCCTTCTCAATAACTGGTAAAAGATTATCCAGACATGGTAACAAAGGGCCAAAGCGTAAGGTCATAGAACAGCAGCAGTTCCGATGCTTCCCCCCCCCCCCCATAGGACACAATTGGTACTAAAGAATGTCTTTCATGTTTTCTCTAAGTTCATGGAAGGCATTTGATAGAAGAAAGCAAATGTGCAGCTGGGAATGAACACAGAATAGCTATTCAGAGTATTTTAAACTCTCAGACTATTTCAAATGAAGTCTGTTGTTAGACTAATGAAAACAAGGTCTCTGGGGCACGACTGAAGATGGCAGAGGCCAGGCAACCTCACCTGAAGCGAGGCTCGCCTCGCCACAGAGCGCAGAACGCAAAAGCGGCGGGGACCGCAGGAGGTGGATCAGTACCGTAAAGCGTTTTGTCAAAGCGCGGCGGCACCCCCTCTGAGGGGAACGGGAGCACCAGTGGGCAAAGACAACAGCTTTGTGACAGGCAATGAGAAGACCAAGAAATAAACTGAGAACAACTGCCAAACACATGCAGTTCATGGGATCCTCCATTACAGAGATGAGGCACTGAAATTCTTGGAGAGAAAAAGCAAACCAGGACAGAAACTCACAATAACTATTTTTTATTACATTACAATAAATAGGAGCAGTACAGTTTGACAAAAAAATGACAAATTCCAGATAACCTCACAGCACATACTCCTAAAAACATTAAAAAATTTAAAACAAACGATCTTTTTTTTTCTTTTTTTTTTTTTTTTAACTTAATGTCTGGTATGACCAACATTCCTAGGTCACGCAACCAAATGATGGAAAAACTGGATCACACTGCATATGTTCCACATCAAATAAAGCACAATGTACAAAATGTGCATGTTTCAGTTTACACTATACAAAAATAGTTAAAATACATTCCAGGTAAACATATTACATTAAGAAGTCATTCTAGTAAGAAGTTGGCACTCAAGAGGAAAAAGCAGAAGTATTTTCAACATGAAAACACAAGACAGTGGAATAAAGAAATGTTAGGAAAGATTTACCATCTATGTAGCTTTATGTAAACTTGAGACAAAATGATTTCTTTACAGTTTGATGGTCTTTGAAGGTAATCATTGTATTGCTTCATAGTATAGTCAAGAGCAGAAGATTGTGTGTCAGTATTTACCCCTTACCAAGATCCTGTTACTGTAACGAAATCTATACAGTGAAACTTTAAGTTAGCAAAAATTACAGGGCAATGAGACTGGTCAAAAAATTAAATTTCAGTTTTGAGAAAACCAATGATAAAGTTGTTCACCAGAGTTACATAAAGCTACTGTAAGAAGGCGTTACTCCCTGACACATGGCAATTTAATGTATTAACGCGGTAAGTGATTCACATGTTCATTTAGTAGTTGCTATCAGAACAGACAGCATCCAGGTATGTTCTCTGAAAGCATTTCGAATAGGGAAAGACAGAATAATTATAAGATCAACTTGTGCAAGCTGCAATCCAACATGCTTCACCAAATCTCAACAAATATTAAGACAAAACTGCACAACAGTGGCAAGGATGTGTATTTTTTTTTTAAAGTAAATAAGGGCTAATCTAAATAGATTTTGTACTAATTTAATTAGATTGGTAGCTACAGATCACATTTACTGAAAAAAACCAAGCTATTTTATATATAGCTTTATATTAGAGCTATATAAATCCACATTTGATGATTAAGACATTTCAGCTAAAATTTCTCCTACCAATTTTTAGTTAAATTAACGTAAGAATTTTAGACCAGCCCTGATTTTACATGCAGTGTGACTCAGTTACCAAAAAATCTTCAAGTACTCTTACGATTACTTCCATTTGCTCAAGGTATACTATCCACTTGTGCTACGTTCTTCATATATAATCAAGAGTGTCTAAAATGTGCAAATAACTAACTGTCTCCAAAATGTTCTAACTTTGGAAGCTATAAAATGTTTTGCAACATTAAGAATCTGTTCTTATTCCGTATTGGTCCTTATGATACCATGTTAGGTTCTCCTATTACTGTTTTTCAGAAGATTTCATAATCCGAAGTATATTTCGCATCAAAGCTGAAAAGCGGGGAGGGGGCCTGGGTTTTGGCAGAGGATGGGGACTGGGGGGCGCAGGCAGGGAAAAGCATTATTTCTCTCAGTCACGTTGAAATTAAAGAACGCGCAGCAATCCAGACAGTACGTGTCCCCTGCCAGCTTTGCAGCTCTCCACCTGCGAGAGTCACTGGGGGGGTTTCTTTCGTAGAAGCAAAAGAATACTTTGCTCATGCAGTTGCACCTTTGACATCGTATAAATGGTCCAAGCTACACAGGTACGTGAAAAGTGTACTGTGTAAAATTTCCACATCATTGATTAGGTATACCTTAGGTTAGGGCAATGCTACTATGCCCTGTTCCAGAAACTTTCCAGTGTCCTGAACCATCCCACTTCAATGTCTTGTGTTCTATTTTTTGGGGTGTACCAGAGTCACATTTTCAAATTTTACTCTGCAGCTGAGTTGGGTCCTAGGAAGAAGTGTACCTTCAGCAACCCAGGCCCTAATGAAACGATCAAACAACGCAACATTTACAGCAAGACAACAGGAACTGGCAACACTGGAATTACTGGCTCTTTCTTCAGTGCAGAATAACTAGGCTACTGCAGTACCAAAAATGAAAGCTCCTGCAAAAATTCTGCATTAATTCCAATCAGAAAAAAAAGGAGGGGGTGAGGGGGAAATCACAAGAGAACTTAATCACAGAGAAAGACAACATTAAAATCTTGGTCTAGCTTCATGACAATCTAGACACTGGAATGCCACTCACCAACCATTTAATCTGTGCAACAAAACTAGTACTTCACAAACATCACACGAACAACACTGACTCTGGAAACCATGTTCTATGCTGACGGTTTGTGCAAATTCCACACCATTTTTATGGCATAGTGGATTTCCAAATTATTTGCATGAAGCAGCTAAATTCAACTCATTCATTCACTCATTTGATGTTACTAGAATTCAAAATTCCTCCCCTGTTTTGCACAAAACGGGCATCTGGAAATATTTAATGCCACCCTTGGGGAAATTAAGAATGGTTTTACTTCACTATATAATTTAGGATTCATTCTGATTTAATTCTTGTGGTAAATTCTGGATCCATGTATGAATTAACCTAAGAATTTGAATCAACTTATCTGTTAAGGCTTTCTAGTGTTTCCTAGAGACACCAAGGGTGAAATCACGTACCTACTGAGCAAAGCTACTTAAAGATTTGCCACTGGGGGTCAGGAGAGCTAGGATTTCACCTTGGTCTTCAGACACAAAAAGTTAAAGTCTTAAAGCAATGCATTAACAATAGCAAATCAACCTAATTAGAACTTTTACTTTTTCCATTGCCAGATGTGCATTGTTGTCTTTTTTTAATTTTTCTTTTTTTATAGAAAAAATAGAGTATTTAAGGAGTGACTGTGACAAATTGCAGTGAAAATTTTTTTTTGTGAAAGTTTTATCTTTACATTCTTTAAAGTTGATCTGAAATGCTACAAGACTAGATGCCTAGAAGCAAAATCTACAGGAAGACTATAAAGGCTTCTGGTCTCTCTATATTGCAGTCAGTCTAAAATAAAAAGAAAGGCTGAAATGAAAGTCTCTTTTGCTAACTAGTCCTTTTTCCCAACCAGATTTAAAAACCAAAAAATTAAAGGGGATGTTAGAATGTGGAGAGCATCATTTCATTGTTTGGTTTGCACACAGAACAGAAGTTCACAATCAGTAAGAAAAATAGGAAGTTAGCAACTGTGCATGCACCAAAGAGTCCTAAGACAGTTCTCAGGTTTTTGTGTGTAGTTTTGTTTGTTTGTTTTTTTGTTGTTGGTTGTTTGTTTTTTCACAGGCATTGCTACTTCAAGAACCAACAGTCAAAGAATACTGGCACTTTAAGAGGAATGAAGTTTCCACTGTCATTTAAAACAAGCATTCAGGTAAAGCTAACAGGATCATGAAGCAGAAAGTAAAGTAATGCTAAAACAAATGCTAATAATTTAGTGTAATGTACAAAAATTACTTAAGTACTTCTTAAGAATAAGGATAAATTGTATTTACATAATTATACACTTTGTCTTTGTCTTCTTTTTCTTCTTTTTACCATCTTTGCTCATCTTCTCTTTGTGTTTTCTGATTTCTCGAACTAATGTATAGAAGGCATCATCAACACCCTGAAAAGACACATACATGCACACGTTAAGATCACATCAACAGACTTATCCGCCTGCTTAGGTACAGCCTGTTCTCATCTGACCAGATCAGGTGAAGCGTGTTCAACGCGCAGTCTGTTTTGCTGCCTGCCAGAAGAGGCTGCACTGTCTTCTCCTTGCTGAGGCTTTTATAATGTCCCCTTGAGTAATCTGTGGGTTGGAGGAATTGCCAGGGCAATGGTCCTCTCAAGCACTGCTGCTTCTTGGGAAGGGGCATGCTGGGAAAAACATATTCAGATGGAAGGGGAACTACAGCTGTCTCCTGTCACTAAGAGGAACGTGTCTGACTGCATTACTGTGCATGGGCAGAGGGGCCTGCAGGAAAGCAGCTCTGCAGCGTGGGCTGCCATCATTTGAACAATTACTCCTGGCTACAGGCTGTTCCTCTCCCGATTTCTGAGGAGCGCTGAGACAACCACCTGAATGAACTGTTTCGATGCCAGCAACAGCCAGCACCCGCCTGCCCTCTTTCTCAGCTGTTCCCCAAACCGGGCTTACAGCAGCCTGAGGGTGACGTACTGCTCAGGGGTTGACCACAGACACCCCGTAGGCCCAATGCCATTACTAATGCGGTAAGGAAAGAAATTTAGTGTACTGCCCTCTCCTCCATCTCAAAGAGGGCATGTGTTGTCCCACCTCAAACTAGAAAAGTATAGGTACACCACATGTTTAGATTGTACATTATTAGTACAAAATAAAGTTCTGAAGCATTAGCTAGCTTTGTTTATGCCTTAATAATCTACATGCAGCCTTAAAAAGTAAATACAAGTATTTATAGCAAGAATTCAATACCAAAGAGAGAGTTACGATTATTCTACATATTCGGGTCATTTCTCAGGCACACTGATTTAGTAATCACACCGCAGTTTTATAAATCTTTACATATGCAAATCAATCAAATCAATCCCATGTTCCAATGATAAATTATCATTTGATAAATCACTCTATTCAAATTATACACTTAAAGACACACGGAACACATTATCTATGGTGCTGCATCATGTCACTTAAAATCTCCATGGCTCCAATAGTTAAGCTACAGACACAAAAGCTCATGTTTCTTCACATTCGGTAGTTTTTCATTTTTGGGGGCGGGGAGGGGTGGGGTGGTAATTATAGCTGACAAAAATTAACTCTGGTCAAAAGAGACCAGCATATCTAAAAGCCTGATATGAACCATTATCAAGTACAATGTTGTATGGTATGCTTTGTAACAACCTATTTACATGAAACAGTTTATTGCCTAGCTTTCAGGTTGCTCCAAATCCCAAGCAAATACCCATGTTCTCCATCAGCCTTCACATTTAATACTTTGAGTGCTGACAGTTATAATATCTTTAAGATAAAAAATGATCTTGATTCTTCACTGCCTTACACCTTATATTACCTTTTAGATAGATCAGAAATAGTTGGATAATGTTAATGTATCACAGCAGCCGACCGTACCACTATAGAACTGGGTCTAGAAATGTAGCCCTGCAACTGGCAGGCAGCTTCCTACCTCTTGTCAGCTACAGAGTTTGCCCTCAAGCTGCCAATAAAAATTAAGTCTCTGTTCACTCCTGTACACCTACTTCAGGAAAAGAACTGAAAGTGAACTCCGAAAAAAGCACAACAACAAAAAGCCAAAAATCACCTAATTCATTCCTGTCAAACACCACATGGTGATGAAACTTAATATGGAAAGTCCAAACAACAGTGAGGTGTTAAACAGCTTCACTTACAAAACAATGCTCCCGGTATGACCTAAATTAATTTAAAACCTTCACATTCAAGTTCATACAACACTTACAAATAACTGATGTTCAAGCAAAGTCCTTGGCAGCCTATCTCCCAATACTAATAGCACACTTTTGCAAGGTCTTGTAATATACAAAATACACTTGCAAATAACCTATTCTACATTTTAAAATATTACTGATCAATATAAAATTGATGTAGCGTGCCTAATGGAAGAGTAGCCTTTGTTCTGGAAAAGGTGATGTCCCCCATGAATCTTCTGAGAATTAGAAATGCTTGGTATCATTTTACAGAGAGCTAGTGTATTTTCATTAAAACTTCAGCACTAATGCACAAAGTGAACATTTAGCAATGTTC